AAAAAATTGTTTTGTTCGATTGACAATTTCACTGTAAACCAGTGAAATTCAAAGACTTTTTGTCATCACGTGTGTTCAACGTCATGGCGGCGCTAAAATTTAAAATTTGGAAAAATTTTTTTTTGTTAAATTTTCTTCCACCTGTCCAATGTATTTTTCTATAGCTTCCTCTTTCTTTTATTATCACTTTAATCTCAAGAAGTATGTTTGAATAATTTTTAAAATTTCAGCGCTCTTCACATATTTAAAAAATTTTCTATTTTTATGCAGTTAAATTTTGAATTGACGTAACAAAACTTTTAACTTTAAGGTCTAAGCACAATTAAGCATACATAAAAAAAGAAAAATGGTCAGCTAATTATTGTCCTCGCTCACCGCATCCATAGATGATCCCACCCTGGAGTAAATTCTGGTTTCTCCACTGTTTGGGATATGTAACATTTACATACATTTTGAGGTTAGGAAGCTCATATCCCACAGTCATATTCTACCCGCACCAGATATCGTTGTGTTTAGACATTTGATTACATTTTTGACAAAAATGGTTGACTCTCAGAAGAATATTGGTAAGTTTTTTCTAATAAATATTTAAAAACAAGTATTTTTTTATATAGCCTTTTTTATAGTCAGTATTTTGAATACAAAAAAATTATTTAAATCATATACGTATAATTTACGCAGCACCTGATTCAACAACATCATCAATCTTATCGTCAGCATCATTACCTTCTTTATCATGTCCAAATTCACCGACGTCTTCACCTCCTGCATCACCGTCATCTTTCTACACTGCCATGTCTTCACCGGCACCGAGTGAAAACTCTTCAAATCATTCGTCGTATTCAGATGAATATGTTAAGTTGTCAATTCACGGAAAAAGCAATTTACAGAAAGAAAAGACGATCAGCATTTTGGGGCCAAGAGTAGCGATTTCAATAGAAGGGAAATTGTACAATTAAGATATGGAATAAACACTGTAGATGTCTCTGACAAATTATTTGAGCATTACACGGGTTGCAGAATTTAATTAGTAATAAATAATTATAATACTTATAATAATTATAATAATAATTATTATAATAAATATATTATAATAAATGTGATAAATAATTATAATAATTATTATAATAAATATATTACAATAATTGTGATAAATAATTATAGGGGAACATAGTCTAGGTCGGCCACCTTTTTGACTTTTGTTTATAACTTTTTTTTAAAAATGAATTTGGACAATTGAAGTATATGGTTGGAAAGTCCTGTTTAATAGGAACATTTTTTCTGTACAAAGTAAATTGACAGGTTTAAAAATAAAAAAGTTATAAAGATTTAAAAAAAAAAAATTTGTAGTCCAGGTTGGCCATTACAGTCAAGGTCGGCCATGTTTAAAATTCAAAGGGCATTAATCTTTAAAAAATAAAATAACATGTTTGGAGTTACGGAAAATTGATTCTTTATTGTTTACAGCTTGTAAGTTAATGAAATAACAAAATAATAAAAATAAACAATATAAAAAAATAAATATAAATAAAAAAAAAATTTTGCACTAAAATATTAATAAAATTAAATAAAAATATTAATAAGATGATCAATTATATTATGAGTTATACAGAATTGCAGTTTTTGCAAATGAAGTAGCTCGTCCTCATCTTTGCGCATTTTAAACACATAGTGGCCGACCTTGACAGTAAGTAACATTACCGAATTGTTGTAACCATAAAGAAATACGTTTCGGGATTCGATTTTTTACTTTGTTTTTCTTTCAACCATGAGTCCCACAAATTTTCTGCATACTTGCCTTGACGATTCAATTTGTTTTTTATCTTTTATTAATGGTTTTTCACATTATGCACAAAACTTTTTTTGAGCTTTTTTTGTACCGACGTCACAGAAAACACAATTTTTGATTTTCCGAAAATGTAATTGAACAAAAAGTTAGGTTTCACTAAGACAAGCTTCGACAAATATGCGCGTAGGTGGCGCTAGTCAACTTGACAAAAAAACGCGAGTGGCCTACCTAGACAGTAGACGTTACCTTGACTACATTCCCCTAGTAATTATAATTATAATAATTGCAATAAATAATTATAATAATAATTAATACAATAAATATATTATAACAATTCTAATAAATAATTATAATAATAATTATTATAATAAATATATTATAATAAATGTGATAAATAATTATAATAATTATAATTATAATAATTGCAATAAATAATTATAGTAATTATAATTATAATAATTGCAATAAATAATTATAATAATAATTAATATAATAAATATATTATAACAATTCTAATAAATATATTATAATAAATGTGATAAATAATTATAATAATAATTACTATAATAAATATATTACAATAATTGTGATATATAGTATAATGATAATATTCCCTTCCGAAATTTTTTATATTGAAAGTAAGTAGGAAATTCGATCCGTGGAAGGTAAAAGTATAGACATATTGGTTTTATGTCATATTTTTATGACATAAAATTTCTTGACGAAACGCTCTCTAAAACTCGACGTGCCAGTTATTACTGCGCGAATTTAATATGTAACGTTTTTTTGTGATGTGGCCTAGCCTGATGATGATGACAAACCAAGTCATCGAAACGTCGCTATCTTTTTAATTATTTGACATTAATAAAAATATGACATAAAACCAATATGTCTATACTTTTACCTTCCACGGATCGAATTTCCTACTTACTTTCAATATAATAATTGTGATAAATAATTATAATAATTGCAATAAATAATAATAATTATTATAATAAACACATTATAATAATTGAGATAAATAATTATAATCAAAATTATTATAATAAATATATTACAATAATTGTAATAATAATAATTATAATAATTGTAATAAATAATTATAATAATTATAATAATTGCAATAAATAATTGTAATAAATAATTATAATAATTGTAATAATAATAATTAAAATACTATTATTGTCAATTTATCTATTTGTTATTTTTAATTACTAAAATAAATTGACAGATATAATAATATTAACAAAAAATTATAATTATTATTATTATTATTAATATAACTACTATGTTTCTACTATTGTTTTCATATATTTATAAAATTTATTTTATACAATATTAAATGGTCTTCTGAAAAAGTTTGAAGGTAAGTAAAATATAATTATAATGCATTAGAAAATATTTAATTTAATTTAAAATTATCCCATTAATATTTCTTCATGCAATTTGAATTTATTTACAGTTAATTAACATTTAATTTATATTTTCCAATTAATTTTTGGAAATTAAATTCTTAGATAAATTAGACAAATTATTCTACGAATATTTCTTCGTAGAATTTAAATTTATTTATTGATAATAAACAATTTTTATGCGATTTCCAATTAATTTTTGAAAATTAAATTTACTCTTTAAAAGTTGACATAACCTCAATTTCTTCTGCATTCTTTTTCTATTTTATATCAAAGCGTTGCTTTTTTTATTACAAAAGAAAATAATTACATAAAAGGAAAACAGTTTTATATTTTTACAATAAATAAAGATTAATAAATAAATTTCTTTTAATTTATTTATTATTTTTATTTTTCAGGAAGTTCTCCAGTCATGTAAAAACTACGTAATTTTTGCGGCAATATTTAAATATCTAAAAAAATTTCTTTAGTAGAAATTATTTTTTTGTAAACCCGTTTATCCTGAATAAATAAAAAAATAAATACTTTTGTTAAATAATTTTTTTCAACGTTTTTAATTATTATTTTGCAAATATTTTTGTAAAAATACTTGTTAATTAATTATTGAATAAGTACTAAGATGAATAATTTTGAACCTTATTTTTTTCAGATGCAGGATGAATATTTATTATAATAATTAAATTTAATTTATCAAAAAAATACTACTTAATTTTTGAAAATTGTCTTTTCTTTTTTAATGTTAACATAACCTGAATTTCGTATACATTTTTTTATATTTCTTATTCTAAAACGTTGCTTCTCTTATTACAACAAAAATTAACTACTTGAAAAGTGAAAAACCATTGTTTTTTAATAAATAAGTGTGAATGAATAAATTTCCTTAATTTTTTTTATTAGTTCTATTTCTCAGGACTTCCCCAAGTCACATGTATCTTTGGTCATTTTTGCGGCAATATTTTAATATCAAAGACCTTCTTATTTGTAGAAATTATTTTTATTTTTGGGATAATTGTTTTCAAAATATAGTTATTTTGCAAATATTTTTGTAAAATTTTTAAAAAATATGATAAAAAGTTTGCTTTCTTCTCTTTCGTACTCTTAAAAGTTTCCTTTTTTATTTTTTAATACCTATTAATTGATTATTCAATAAATACTGAGGTGAATAATTTTTTTACTTATTTTTTAGATGCAAAATACAAATTTTTTATATTTAATTTAACGACAAACATCATTATCTGCAACGAATTTTTATTAATTTGACGAATTAAAAATTAAGTCAGTTTAAAATATGCAAGAAATGATTTTAATAAATTATTCCACTAAGGTTTCTTTACGAAATTTTATTTATTTGCTGTTAATTAACATTTTTTTTACATTTCCTAATTAATTTCTGGAAATTTTATTTTCTCTTAGAATGTTGACATAACCTCAATTTCGTCTGCATTCTTTTTCTATTTCTTATTTTAAAGCGTTGCGTTTCTTATTGCAACAAAAATTAACTATCTGAAAAGGAAAGTAGCTTTGTTTTTTACAATAAATAAAAGTTAATGAATACATTTTTTAAATGTATTTATTAATTTTATTTTTCAGGACTTCCCCTAAATTGTGTCAGACATTGTAGAATTATTACAATTACATATTCAGTTAAATATAAAACTACTGCAAAAAAACTATTCCTTAAAAAAAGAAAACTTGTTTAATTTTATACCGAAGAAATGAAACAACATTTTAAGAAATAAGTAAATTTATTTTTTTTAATATAGCATTAAACAGATTTTTTTAAAAACATGAATTTAAATTTAATTTTTTGAAGATGAAATTTCATCGCATTGAATGATTGGAGATGAAACTGGTGTGGTATATATGTCATAAGGTGAAGAAGGAGGAGATGAACCTACAGAAGGTGCAGGTGAAGTTGGAGGCGTATAGTATAATGAACTTGTCGGTGAAGAAGGTGGTAACGATGAAGGCGAATTACGCGATGAATTTGATGGTGATGGCGGAGATGGTGATGACGGAGATGGCGATGACGGAGATGGCGATGACGGAGATGTTGATGTTGGATTAGGTGCTGCAATTTAAAATTTAATTATCTTAATTTGTATCTTGGTTGTTTGCTACGACAAAGGGTTTAAAACCAAAGAGAAATTACTTGTAAATAATTATCACAAACACTTACACACATTCTCTTGACAGTTAGCCATTTTCAAGTTTGAAAATATAGGTTAAAAACCAGCTGCTGTGACTCAAATTTATAGTTTATAGAAACTAACTAACCGCAAAGATTGCCAACTTAACAATTCATAATTGAGAAAGAGAGTTTAAGGTTATGAATTTTTTTTTAAACCATATTACTATTCGTAAAAGAACATTTTTCTATAAGTTAAAGATAATTAGCAGATAAATTTAATAAATTATTCGACTAATGTTGCGCAATAACATTTTTATTCATTTACTGTTGATCAATATCTTTTTTCTATTTTTGAATTGATTTTTAAAGTTAAAATTTTTTTAAGATGTTAACATAACCTCAATTTTAATTACATTATTTTTTTTAATTTAAAGCTTTGTATCTAATATTACAAAAAACTAAACTAAAAAGAGAAATAGCATTATTTTTGTCAATAAATATAAATTAAAAATAAATAAACTTCTATTAATTTATATATAGATTTTATTTTTCAGGACTTTCCCTTGTCATATGTGTAGAATATCACTTTTGCGGCAATATTTAAATATCTCAAAATTAGTTATTTATAAAAATTGTTTTTTTTGAAGAATAATTATTTCTAAAACTTTTTATAAAACATTTGGAAAATATTTATGTATTCATAAAAAAACTTAATTTCCAGAAGCATCTTCCGGAAAAAATTAACTTTCAAAATAAAGAATACATTTTCCGGATAATTTCCGTAATCCTTCCACATGGGATGTTAGAACACCTATGATTGTTATTCTTTGACTTTGTTGAGATTTTTTAGACGCATCTTTTAATCCCTTATTTGACACTTTTCGTTCATATTATAGCCAAAGATATTAAACTTTTATAAATCTAAAATTTTTAAAAATAAGACTTTTTAGAAAATGTTGTTAAAAAATGTATTAGGGTGGCTCTTATTTACCATGTTGAAGATAACTTTTTGGCCCCCCTCTACATCAAATCTTTGGCCCAAATTAAGAAGAAATTCGATAAGAAAATTGATTTTGAGATTGATTAACCCTCTCTCGTAAGCGCCTACTTTTTCCATTTAAAATACATGGGATTTTACAAACTTTTGGTTTTTTTAAAATAATTTTTCTACTTAACAAAATTTTTTAAATTGGTTTTTAGATTCTTAAAGTGCACACTTTTACCTTTAAAAGGACTTAAAATACAAGATTTTCGGTTCATAATTGAATAAGTTATAAAGCTTTGAATATAGAGATTAATAGATTCAGCCAAATTACAGGGCATAAAGTCAAGAATAATTTCAATTTAAAAGTCAACGTTCGGTTTTAATAGAGAGTTTTGATTTGGAAGATCTTCAACATATTCTAATATGTTTTTAAATACACTGAAAGACAAAAATTTTGATTAAAAATAGGTGTAAGATAGAATTATAAAGTTTTTAATTTATTTGTCTTCATTTAATTATAATTGTTTTTAACGTGAAGTAATTATTTTAAAATCGTTTCAGATTGACGGTAATAAATCACCACATGACTAAAATTTCATAGTGAAATTATTATTAATTATTATTAGAATGCACATTTTAGGAGTGTTAAAACTTAGTTAATTTTTTATTTCTATAAACGTAGAAATACAATTTCGTTCTCTATAGCTCTTTTCGATTCAAGAGTTAGCAAAAATCTGTTCTTGTAATCCTCTGCCACGACAGAACCAGCCTAACCCAATATTAACTATTTTATTCATTTAATTGATAATTTAAATTTTACCGCTTTTGTAGTGCTGACTCTATCGACAGAGGAGCGATTTACACACATGCGTCATATTTAACCCTCTAGCGCATGACTTTCCACCGAAAAAGTGGTTTCCAAATGCATACATTTCTCTTAAAGTTGAATTTGTTTCAAACTTGGTATCTAGGGGTTTTTAGGGATGCTGATTACGAATCCGAAGTCAGTTTTTAAAAATTCAAAATGGCGAATCCAATATGGTGGATGACTTTTTCAAAAATTGTTGGATTTTTATAAAACTTGTTATCTAAGAGTTTTTGGGGTCGCTGATTACGAATCTGAAGTCAGGTTTTAAAAATTCAAAATGGCGGATCCAATATGACGGATGAATATTGAAAAAATTGTTGGATTCTTATAAAACTTGATATCTTGGGGTTATTCGAGTCGCTGATTTACGAATCTGAAGTCAGTTTTTGAAAATTTAAAATGGCTGATAACTATTTTCAAAAATTATTGTAATAAGTTATTTTAATGGTATAATATTCTTTGTTAAATTTTTTTTGACAAATTAGAAAGAGATTAAAAAAATTTATTTAAAAATTTCCAATTTAAGATGTTTTACAGGGTGCCTACTAATCGGGAAATAGCCGGGAATTTTAATCGACCAGAAATAAGCCAGGAATTTCATGCCACAAACCGGGAATTTTTTCACCAAATTAAAAAAAGTTTTATTATTTTAATTTGTTTTTTAAAAATCGCTTTCAATTAAATTTTTATAGACATTTATACTGTTCTCTAAATTTGTTTTTAAAAAATCGCTTTTAATTAAATTTTTATAGACATTTATACTGTTCTCTAAATTTGAATTAAATTTGAGTTAAACATAATTAATTTGATAGTAAAAAATCAGTCACGGATTTAAATTTAGTATGTAAATAAATAAATAAAAAAATTATCGAAAGCATAGAAATTTTATAAAATTCAACTGAAAATAATTAAATTTGTTAAAAAATTTCATTAAAAACTTTGTAACAAATTGAATTTTCAAAGTATTTTAATTTAATAATTGATAAATAATTGAATTTAATAAAGAGTCACATTCTAATGTATTCATCTGTCTTAGTGCGAAGATTAATAATTAAAATTTTTATTGGTTAATTTAGAAAAAGATACACACGTACAATTTTTTAATAAAATTCAATTTTCAACAAGTTTTTTTTTAAATTCTGAAAAATAAGATTTTTGAAATTTTTTAATTTTATTGTTTCAAGATAATATTGAATTTTTATAAACAACTGATTTAATATTTATGGAATAATTAAAATTTCTTTACATTCTATTAAAAATAATTCAATTATTTTAAAGAATTTTATTTAAATTTCTCGAAAATAATCAAGAGAAGTTAGTCACCGTAATTTTAATTTTATTTTTTAAAATTTCTTCGCCATATAGAGTAAACCAGACACTAGTCGGTCACTTAGGAAAATCTTTTTATGAATACTGTTTAAAAATTACAATTAAAATTTTTTTTAATTTCTTTCATGTGTCGATAAACCGGTTGTACTCAGAGAGGTTTTCTACAGTTTCCCTCTTCTCTGGCGAGAAAACCCATTGACGGGTGGTCCAGGCGTAATGCGAGTACTCCTAATAAAGTCGGCTGTAGACGCAAAATTAGGTTAATATATAGAAAATTTCTAAAGTAGAATGGTTATGCTTAATCCAAAAAAGTATTTCTCGGGGACTCTTGTCGAAGTGCGTAAGGCCAATAGGGCAGGAGTATAAACAATAAAAAAAAAAAAAAAAAAATTTAAAAAAGAAAGTAGGAATCCAACAGTAGTCGGCCACCTAAACCGACAGTAATCGGCCACTTAAAAAAGCTTCCAAAAACCGTACAGAAATTTTTTTTTTCAATTACAAAAGCTTACATTTTTTATGATTACCTTAGAAATGATTAGCAACTGTCTTTCAATGTATTTAAAAACCTATTAAAAATATTTTGAAGATCTCCCAAATAAAAACACCGGATTAAACCTAAACCTTCGACTCTTAAATTAAAATTTTTCTCGACTTTATGTCCTACGAAAGGTATTCACCTTTCTAAACAACGAGTGTGTCCGATTTTTGCACTTTAACTAGTAAAATTTGGCTAAATTTATTAATCTCTATATTAAAAGCTTTATAACTTATTCAATTATGAACCGAAAATCTTGTATTTTAGGTCATTTTAAAGGTAAAAGTGTGAACTTTAAGAATCTAAAAACCGATTTAAAAAATTTTGTTAAGTAGAAAAATTATTTTTAAAAAACCAAAAATTTGTAAAATCCCATGTATTTTAAATGGGAAAAGTAGGCGCTTATAGGAGAGGGTTAATCAATCTCAAAATCAATTTTCTTATCGAATTTTTTCATAATTTGGGCCAAAGATTTGATGTAGAGGGGGGCCCAAAAGTTATCTTCAACTTGGTAAATAAGAGCCACCCTAAAATGTATATCAGTAATTTTAAGTCTCATAAGTCATAACCAAGGTGTAGAGAATTTAACATCGCTTCGATTTACGTATTTTGAACCTAATTTAAACAGAAGTCACGAAATTATTGGTTTTATGAAAATAGAATATTGTCGACAATATCATTTTCTGAATTTTCTTACTTAAAAATTTTCCCACAACTATTAAGGTATTAGTCGCGCAGTTGGCTCTGGTAAAAAGTTTACCGGGCCCCTTATTAGAGTGGGGCAGTAAGAGTGAGAGAGATAGTTTAACTCCCCACTCTATTCGTTCGTATGAAAATTCATATAATTTAGTTATTTTTTCAACTTTCTTTCAATATATTTATAGTTTGGCGCGGTCAAAAAATGTCATGTTTTTTATTTATTTGCTTCATCTGGAGATGCCGCAAGACTCGAAATTTTCGAGACGAGACGAGACAATCATCGTCAAGACCAAGACCAAGATGAACTTTTTTCTCGTCTTGTCTATTCAAGACGAGACAAGACAGTAAGTGTCAAGACCAAGACAAAATTCAAGACTCAAAAAATATCGTTAAATGCAGTGTACGTTTAGAAAAATACGAAAAAATAGCACTTGAATAAGTTGTTATTCTATAAAATATAGTAAAATTACATCTATATTTTATGGAATTACTCTGTGAATTTTCCCAAGTGCGAAATGCCAAGACTGCAAAAACGGCCCATCATTGGTGCAGTAATGTCTGCCGAGAATTGGCAGTAGTTACTGGGCCATTATTGGTGTCCAAAACGTCCCATTACTGGGCCAATGATGGCGCCGATGGTCAGAATTTCAAATTTTTTAAGACTGGGCCAGCTCTCGGCCCAATAATGGCACATTCATGGCAAAGTTTATCAATGTTTAATGGCAAAAGACAATTGCCAGTGATGTGCCGACCATCGACCCAGTAATGGCTCATTATTGGCACTTTAATGGCAAAAAATTTGTATCGTTCATGGCAAATTATAATTATCAGTATTGGGGAGTAGCTTGGCTCAATAACGGCACAATATTGGCAAAGTTGATCAATCTTTAATGGCAAAATTCAATTACCAGTGATGTGACGAAGATCGGTCCATTAATGGCACTTTAATGGCAAACATTTTGTATCCTTGATGGCAAATTATAATTGCCAGTATTAGGGCGTAGCTTGGCCCAATAACGGCACATTCACGGCAAAGTTGATCAATCTTTAATGTCAAAAGACAATTGACAGTGATGTGACGAAGATCGGCCCATTAAAGGTACATTAATGGCATTTTAATTTGGTAAAATTTTTTATAAGAATTTAATTTTAAGAAACATTCAGTTATTCAATAAATTATTTATTTTGTATTTAAATAATTAAATAAGCTTGAAAAGGATTCAAATTAAAATATTTGAAACTTTGAATTTTCTATATTTTTAACTGTCAATTTTAAAGAATTAATTTTTTTGAAAAAGTTTAATTAAGTATTAATTTAAAAAAGAAGTTATTAATGTTTTCAAATAATTTTACAATTAAAAAAATTCGTAAATAAATGTAACAGAAACCTTTTTTAGAGTAAAATTTTTCCTTTGTTATCTAAAAATTAAGAAATTTTCAATTTCACTTTCAATTAATATTTGCAATTGACAAATAGAATTTACAAACATTTTTTTCCTTTATTTTTTTTAAAATTCTTTGAATTTTTCTTAAAGCAATTGTAATTAAGAAATAGACATGATGCAAATTATTTCCTTAAGAAAATTTATTGAATAAATGAATGTTTTTTAAAATTTAATTCTTATAATTCAATTTTAAGAAACATTTAGTTGTTCAATAAATTATTTATTTTTGCATTTAAATAATTAAATTCTCGTAGAATTTTCTAGTAAAAATTGATTTCAAAATGGATTCTAGTCAAATTTTTAGATAACAATTAAATATTAAAAATATACCATGAATTTTGATATTAAAATTTTTTTAAATTAAAACGCCAATGATGTGACGAAGATTGGCCCATTAAAGGCACATTAATGACACTTTAATGGCAAAAATTTTGTATCTTTGATGGCAAAATATAATTGCCAGAATTGGGGCGTTGCTTGGCCCAATAATGGCACATTTACGGCAAAGTTGATCAATCTTTAATGGTAAAAGACAATTGCCAGTGATGTGACGAAGATCGGCTCATTAATGGCTCATTATTGGCACTTTAATGGTAAAAAATTTGTATCTTTCATGGCAAATTATAATTGCCAGTATTGAGGCGTAGCTTGGCCCAATAACGGCACATTCACGGCAAAGTTGATCAATCTTTAATGGCAAAATTCAATTGCCAGTGATGTGACGAAGATCGGTCCATTAATGGCTCATTAGTGGCACTTTAACCCCTTCGCTGTTTGGAAAAATATTCATTTTAGTACCCCAAAATGTCCATCAAAATCTTTTAAATTGTTATATTACTTAAAAATGATAAACAATTATTTATTTATTACTTTTTCTAGTATCATTGATACCTATAGTATGTGAATAATGATATAAAAGAATTTATTTTATAATTTAAATAACAAATTTCTATCATTTGCTAAAACTTTCACGACCCAACGTTAAGTCGTTAACAGGCAACGGGTTAATGGCAAAAATTTTGTATCTTTGATGGCAAAATATAATTGCCAGAATTGGGGTATAGCTTGGCCCAGGAATGGCACATTAATGTCTATCATTTTGTATCTATGATGGCAAATTATAATTGCCAATATTGGGACGTAGCTTGGCCCAATAATGGCACAGTATCGGCCAGTGTAGTGTAGCTTATAAGAACCCTTTTGCTTCCTCGGCTTCAAGTCAGAGTAGCAGAGTGGTCAGAGTGTTAGGCTGTGGTACGTCAGGTTCAGGTATCGATCCCCGCGAGAGGTAAGAATTTTTCAAATATTTGTAAGTTTGCGTTTAATTTAGGGAAATAAGCCGTATAAATGTTATAAATTAATTAGTTTATTGAATAAAAAAAAATTTATTTTTATTTTTTTCTAATTTTGTCAACACTGGGGGAGTAATGGCAGCCAATATTGGGCCATTAATGTCTGCTGAGATCTGGCTGCCAATAATGGGCCATTAAAGTCTGCCGAGATCTGGTGCCAATATTGGGCCATTAATGTCTGCCGAGATCTGGCTGCCGACGTCCAACCGCTGTTAACACCACAAGAGTCGGCGCAAAGTCGGGCCAATATTGTCTGCCAAGTCTCGATGCCAGCTTTGCCAATACTGGGCCAGTGTTGGGCCGCGTTGGTTTTTGCACTTGGGTTAGTTATAAAACTAAAATTGTGGTTTAATGTAAAATATAAGACCACCAAAATTTTCATAAATTTAAAATCTCTATTCATGGAAAAAATAAAATTAAAAAAAAATTTTTTTCGCCATTTTTCAATCTACCATGTAAGTATTTAATTATTTAAAGAAAGAAAAAGTTTTTAAATTGTTGATCATATATTAGCAAAATCTTAAGATAAAATTATGTCATCAACAACTGATACTCCTGAAGTAACTTTTTGCGTCTTTCGAGAATATTTTCAGGGAATACAATTTAAAATCTTTTGAAATTCAATAATTTCTACAAATTGCATGTAAACTCAACTATTCTAAGATCCAATTATTTTTCAGTTTTTAAGTAAAATGATTCTCTGAATATTTTATAAATAACAATTTTATGAAACTTCTTCAAGATTTAAATTATTTAAAATAAAATTAATTTCAGCTTCTGTAAAGATCAATTTTATTGTCAGAAATGGAAAAAATTTAAAGTTTAGCATTAATATTTGTGGTTGATTTTAAAGTTTATAAGCAGAACATGGAAAATTCAAAAAGAATTAAATGTTTTTAATATCTTCAAAGGTTGCTGGGCATCAAAAATCAGATCTTTTTCCTTCAATTCTACAAATGTAATACTTATTCCAGTATTTTTGATAATATTCTCTGATTTCCTTGAATTTCTCGTCTTGCGGCAACACTAGTTTCATCTAATTGAATACTTTGGTAGTTTTGTTTCAAAATCTGACGATTAGTTATATAAATAATTATTTAAAAAAATCAATACATGCATTGGGTGCTCCCTCCATACAAAATGTATGAACTTTGAATTTATTTTTTGAAGCTTTGAAACGGTCAAAATTAATGAAATTGGTCTCATTCTGTAGATAAATACTTTAGGAATAAGTATGCAAAATTTAAAAAAAATTTGACGAAAACCATTTTACGCGACTAATACCTTAAGCTATTTTAACCACATTATAGTAGAATATTTAAAAAACATAGATTAGACAAAGATTAAAATATAAAATATTTACGAAAAGAAAGGTAAGCTTCCATCTATAAATTACGTAACGTTTAATTGGGAGAGGACAAAAGAATTATTATTAAAATCTTTAAAGCATTTTCAAATTATATTTTTTTATTTTGTTACTTGGAACAATAGTGTATTTATGTATGTGTATATGTGTAAATGTATGTATGTACTAATATATATACATATATTGTATGTGTACGAATGTGTGTGTCTGAATGATATAATCATTTTTCTCGGTAGTTTTCAAAAATCTATAATTTTTGAAATATTTTTTTTATTTTCCGCTATTTTAACAACATCTTTATTCTTTCGTACGATTAAAAATTGAATCTTCTTCTTTTCTCTTTTCACTTCAATTTTTTCTATCTTGTGTACCTCATTGCTTTGTATTTCTTCTCTTTCTTGTCTGTCCTCTTTTTCTATTCTTGCTTCTCTTTTTCCTCTTTTCTCTTCAATTTTTTCTATCTTGTTTATCTCATTGCTTTGTATTTCTTCTCTTTCTTGTCTGTCCTCTTTTTTTATTCTTTCTTCTCTTTTTCCTCTTTTCTCTCCTTCTTCTCTTTTCTCTTCAATTTTTTCTATCATGTTCATCTCATTGCTTTGTATTTCTTCTCTTTCTTGTCTGTCTTCTATTTCTTTTCTTTTTCCTCTTACCTCGACTTCTTCTTTTTCCTCTTCTTCTTTTCTTTCTACTCTTTCTTCTATTTCTTCCCTTTCCTCTTTTTCTTCTCTTTTTTCTCTTTCCTCTTCTCCTTTGCTTTTTACCCTTTCTTCACCTCTTTCTCTCTGCTCTTCTGTTTCATGTATTTTTTCTACTTTCTTACTATAATTGTGTTCAATAAACATTCTCCTCATTTCTTCTTCGATCTCCTTCTTATGAACTATTTGAAGATGATTTTGCATGGTCAATTTCGTTACTTGGAGCTGTCCACAATGTGGACAGTAAATCTCCTTTGATTTTTTTATGCCTTTATATGTTAACACTGAAAATATTAAATAATACTAATGTATTATAAATTAAAGTCGTATATGTGTGAGCATACATGTGAATGTTTCTTGTGCAAATGTGCCAGTATATATGTGTATATTTTTGTGTATATGTAGGAGTATATATGTGTATGATTTTGGGTATATGTGGGAGTATACATGTGTATGTTTCTTGTGTGTATGTGGGAGTATACATGTGTATGTTTCAGGTGTATATGTGTGAGTATACTTGTGTATACGTGGGAGTATACATGTGTATGTTTCATGTGAATATGTTTGAGTATACTTGTGTATGTTTCATGGGAATATGTTAGAGTATACTCGTGTATGTTTCATGTGAATATGTGTGAGTATACGTGTGTATGTTTCATGTGAATATGTGTGAGTATATGTGTGTATGTTTCATGTGAAAATGTGAGTATAAACGTGTATGTTTCTTGTGTATATGTGGGAGTATACATGTGTATGTTTCTTGTGTGTATGTGAGTATACATGTGTATGTTTCAGGTGTATATGTGTGAGTATACTTGTGTATGCTTCTTGTGAATATGTATGAGTATACGTGTGTATGTTTCATGTGAATATGTGTGAGTATAAACGTGTATGTTTCTTGTGTCTATGTGTCAGTATATATGTGTATGCTTTTGGGTATATGTGGGAGTATACATGTGTATGTTTCTTGTGTGTATGTGGGAGTATACATGTGTATGTTTCAGGTGTATATGTGTGAGTATACTTGTGTATGTTTCATGTGAATATGTTTGAGTATACTTGTGTAGGTTTCATGTGAATATGTATGAGTATACGTGTGTATGTTTCATGTGAATATGTGTGAGTATATATGTTTATGTTTTTTTGAGTATATGTGTGAGTATACATGTGTATGTTTCTTGTGTATATTGTGTAGTGTTTCTTAAATAAATACTGAATTAAATCACTCACCTGTTGATGAGATTGGAAGTTCATTATTTTCTTCTTCGATTCTTTCTTCTTCTACAACATTTGTAATGTTGTGGGCACTTTGTAAATGTTTTTGAAGAGAAGAAGGTCGTGTGAAAAATTTATCACATATGTGACACGATCTTTTCAGTTCTTTTTTTGCCTCTTTTTCAACTGAAACATATATGCAATATTACTATCTTGTTATTAAAGATCCCCTGATAGCAGGTAATGAACTATTCAAGTGTTACGTATGCTCCTAATCTTTTAGCAAGCTTTCGGTAAGCTTGTCCTGAAAGTTTTGATAGCTTACCTATTGTGCAACTTTGACACAAGATTGCTGCAAGTTTGATATGTCTATAACCCTTAGCAAGCTTGCTGTATAAAATTACTGCAGTATTACACGGCATACTGTCACCAAGCTTGACATGTTATCATCGTATCTGTTGCCAAGGATTATCATCATCAGTTGTAAAATAATATTGTAAATAGTTAGTTCAGGCGATGTATACTTAAACTCTGTGCGAGATAATTTGTGTACGAGAGTTGTAGTTTTAGTCATCTAGCAAGAAATTTGAGAACTAATATAGGTTTCTCTTATAATTCTCTAATTACCTGCTAGATGGCTAGAACTACATCTCTCGAGTACAACGTGTATTGCACACAATATTAGTATCCGTCCCTTGAACAAACAATTTACAATATTATCTTAACTGATAATGTTAATAGTTGTCATCTAGCACGATGCTAACGTGTCAAGCTTATTAAAACTATGCCGTGCACCTATTGCCATTAGTTAACACAGCAAGCTTGCTAAGAGGCAGACATATATCACACTTACATCAATCTTGTGAAAACATATATACGGTAGGGTTGCAAAATTTTTAGGTTGAGTGTGCCGCAAGCTTGTTGCGAGATTACGTGCTCTATGGTCGTACATATTCAAATAGTAAACATCAGATTTGCAGCTATTGAGTCAATCTTGAATGTAAGCTTACGTTGATCTTACTTTCAGTTTACAAATGAATTTCACGAATAACGCTAATGTTCATAGGAAGCTTACAAAAAATGATATGCTATGTGGCTTCCCTTCTGGTTATCAACATTTCCAGTTAAAAGAATTTTTCGGAGCACGCGAAAATAATTAAGGGTAATAGTACAATCCCATGTGATCAGAAAGCGTAAAAACGAAAGCAAAATTTCATAATTGCATGCAAGAGACTGTCAGATATTTTTAACCTTTTCTCTCATGAAATTTTGCTTTCGGTTTTACGCTTTGAAACTCACATGGGATTGTACTCTTACCCTTACTTATTTTCGCGTGCTCCCAATAACTCTTTACTGGAAATGTTCATAACCAGAAAGAAAGCCACATAGTATATCATTTTTTTGTAAACTTTTCTGCAAGTTTTTCAAGCTTACCGTGCTAACTTGCAGTGAAAACTAGAAATATATGTGACCGCGTCTGAGAAAAGGGACCTTATTAAAGTTCCTTTTCTCAGACGCAGTCACATAATATATGATCATAGGCTGAGCCCTTCTATCTGTAGTAATCTTAGGTACAAAAAATGCAAACCTTGATTTATAATCTCAAATCCTTGATCACATGTTCCTTTAACAAAAGCGTTGAGAAATTCCTCCATTTTTTGGTTAATTAAGTTTTGATCTTCTAAGAGCAGAACTTTTTTAAAACAATCCCAACCATTGAGAATAATTTGCTCCTTCTTCTTGTCTGGTGATGACAAGCGTTTAAAAGGAGATGCTAACGCCGGAGCATCTGATACTTCCTGGTAGATCTGCGAGATCATCTTTACCAAATTGTCTAAAAAAATTAATTTACTTTACTCATGACATCGACATGGTTACTAACCTCCTAATTAAAAAACTATACAATAACGTACATACATACATACATACATACATACATACATACATATACATACATACATACATACATACATACATACATACATACATACATACATACATATCCACAATCATACATACACATACAGACATTCACACACATACATACATACATTCATTCACACATACATACACACAATCATAAAAATTCACACATACATACATACACAATCATAAAAATTCAAACATACATACATACATACATACATACATTCACATATACATACATTCCTTCAAATATACCCCACATACATACATTTATTCACACATACACACATACATGCATACATACATATTCGTTCTAACTTAAGCTTTGCATTCAAAATGCAGTTTTGCTCATGCCGTTAATAGTACCTAAGAAATGTACAGTGCTGGACTTCGTTCCAACGAACGTATGAAGCGTACGATTAAATCGCTCCAGCATGTTGTTGGTCCGGCGCATAGATTTGTATACAGAAAGCTGTTTCGGGTCTGTTTTGCCAAGCCACTGCCTTTTGTAATAATCAATGAATGTAATTAAGGAGTCTTTTATTTCAGTGCTAAACTGGTTCAACGGTAGTTTGTCGATCAGGCGGTAGAAAGTCGGTGCGATTTCCAGGGGAGGCAGTAAGCATAAATTTTTTACCTTAGCGATGAAATTCTGAACGCTTAAGTTCTTAACTTTTTGCAAACCTAATGATGCCTCTTTTTTGGTAATTGCCTATAAAATTAAGAAGGAGAATTAATATTGAACTCCAATAATATGGGTGAATTAAAGTGGATTGGAACTTTTATGCTCTGAAATTTCCAATCAATTTTGTTTTTTTCGTATTCGTAATGAATTCTTTTACTTTTGTTCACGTATTAATTTCTATTTAATTCGATTCTTTTTCACTACACTGAAAGAATTTTAGGCAGGCTGCTGGCTTTTCATGTCCGAAATTAGTGCCCCTTGCGCAGGGCTCGCAGCTCACCTCAAAAAAGCAAGCATCTACTTCCGAAAGGTGAGCAGCTGCCCCTGAGAAGTTGCTGCTTACCTTTCTGGAGTAGATTCTCGCCTTTTTGAGGTTAACTGCGAGCTTGAGGGAACTTTAGAGGCACTCATGTAAAGCCTACAGCCTGCCCAAAATTTTCTCAGTGTACGTGACGAAAGTCTGCACTTCCTTTAATGCCGTTTAGGGGAATCAAGTTAAGTACAGGGCATTAACTACGCAACTAATGATTCTGTTAAATGGCATTAAAGAAATTTAAGATTCTGGTCACGTGCTTATTACAGAGAATTTAATTGGGTAGAGACGAACAAGCTAATAACAGCAAAAGCAATTCATTATGATTATGGACAAAAATGGAATTGGTTTGAAGTTTAAGGATATAGAATTCATTTATTCAACAATACTTACTTTGATACTGTGAAATCTGCATCCTTGATTATGCTTTTCTAAAATGTTTTTGATAGACTTCATTTCTGCTACCTCATAGTCAGAGATGATAGTTTCCAAATTTTCGAAATCTTGGAGAACATGATTTTTGAGGTAGCGAAATACCTCTATATACTGAGCCTCGGATTTACAACTCATTAAGGCAAAAAACACTGGTACAAGCTGATGGAGGAAAAGGACAATGGGTAAATGTAGGATAATGTTAGTAAAAAAGGATAAAGTATGGATATAATAAGGATACATTCACGTATATTCGTACATTTTTTTTGAATCTATACACAAAACACACATCCATATACACAGAAATATAATGATACTTATACACTTACATACTCATAAACATGCACATAATTACGCATATCCAAAAACATACATAGATATACATTTCAATATTTACTTACACATGCACAAATACACAATTAAACAGAAATATGCTGAACAATATTTTCTATCCAAAACACTAATTTGATTAAATGCAACAAAAAACTGGAAATAAATATTTTCTTTCGAATAACCGAATTAATGTTACGTATTTATTAAAATGAACCAAATTTTTATTTGAATCAACAAAACTGCTTTATCCCAACAAATGAAATAGGTTAATTAAACAGTTTGGTTCAGTGAAATAAACTCTTTCTTTGAGTTTAGTTAAGGAAGGAACCACATATGATTTATGAGGGACACACAAGCCGTAAATGTTCCGTCAGTACACTTACGGTATACGGAAGTCTAAAAGAGAAACGACGGAAATGGAGAACATAAATTTTCTGAAAAAATAGCCTACCATACTTACAAATAGACGCATACACACATAGACGCACACATATGTGTATATGTATATACACATATAGGTATACACATACCTGTCCATAGGACTCCACACCGAAAACAAAAAATTGAAATGCACCATAAATAGAGGGTACACTTTGGTAAGTGGCATCACAGAATCCATAAGATGCGATTTTAACTTCCACTGGAATTTTGCTTGGTTTAAAAAAAGTAACTGGTAATCCATTTGAATCCGAAGCACCGTCAACATTTAAGAAATGCTGCACCGCAATTTTTTTGGTAGGCTCTTCAGAGTGAAGATTTAAAACATAAGATAATCTTTTCTGCCACGCTTCGGAATTAAGGGTTGAAGGGAGAAGGCAAATGTCATTTGGAACAGGAGGAGCTTCACTTTTTGACCACCTACCCAATGAACATTTTTTACTCTCGAACGTAATTCCCGCTGCTCCAACTGGTTCACTGACAAAAATAGAATCTTTTTGTGAATTGTTAAATAAATATAAAAAAAATTATTATTATCCTTATAAATAAGAGTAGACTTTTGTCTGTACATTGCATAGAATAGAAAAATTGATTAACATTTTTGTTTCTTATAATCTAAATCTTTCGAGAATACTGATAAGAAAAATATATACATTGCAGGGGGGCTTCATCCCCTAGAGCGCTTCGAGCGCCAACTCCCTATTTTTTAATTGGTTTCATCTTTTTTTGTGCATAATTCTATAATTTTTATTACTTGAAAGAAAATAAATGTTTACAAATAAGTATTTACATTTATTTTACTTAAAATATTGTTTTTTACATTTTTTAACTGCAATTTAAAATTCAAAATAATTTATTTAAATAATTAATTTTAATGGAATTTTAAAAAAATATATGTCAGTTTATAACAACTTTATTGATTGAAACTTAATATTTAGATTACGTTCATTCTTTATGCTATTCTTTATGCTATTTATTTATTTAATGCTATTTTATTTATTTATTCTTTATGCTATTCTTTATGCTATATAAATATATATATATATATATATATATGTATATACTTTTATAATTGAAACGCAAAAGATAACGGCGCCAGTTACGCCGGCTCTGGTTTCTCTCTTTCTCTAAGGGCAATATAAATAAGAATGTCTTTCTTTACCATTTTTCAAAAATCAAATTATCGGAAAAATTTTACGTGTGTCGATAGCTGTTGATGTATAGAAAATTACATTTTGGTTTATTTACAAAAAAAAAGTTGTCCGGCTATGGAACCCTAAAAAACAGATGCCTTCCAATAAAATGCTGCACAGCAGCCATTTTGCAATAAAATTTTTTTGTAAAAATATATTTTGCATATCAATACTCAAGAAATAAAACGTACTTTACACATTTTTAATTGACCATTTCATGGAGCCAAAAAAAATTCCTAAAATATGTCTAATTTTCGTGATGACCCCCCTTAATATATCTGCAACTGCTACAAAAGCAAACTTTAAAAAGAATATGTTTATTTTTTCTTTATTTTAGTGAATAATAAATAGAAAAATCATTATATAAACCCAGGTGCAAAAATTTTTCGTTTTTTTGATGAGCTGTGTAATCATTAACTCTAAAATAAATTTTAACAAAATTGACATAAATTACATAATTAAAAATAAATTTAAACCAATCACACTTGTCAAGTCCACTCTGAAACTTTTTGAAAACCTTCTTAACATTTTGAGGTAGGTTTTTTAAATTTATCATTCCAAAGTTAAAAACCTTATAATTTGTTTATTTTTCACTAAAAAATGAATAAAATTGTTATCATTATTCAAAAGTAGAGAGAAAAATTAAATTTTTTTTTTTTTAAAATAAAAAAAGGAATACTTTTGTGTTATCTGACATTAAAAATAAATCTACATTTAAAAAAAATTTTAATTCATAACAGAAAAATGTAGCTTCTAAAAAAATAAAAAAATACATTTAAATGTTTATATTAGTAAATATAAAGAAGAAAGTTATTACTGATAAAATTAAAGCAACCACATTTAAAAATAAGAATTTAATGAATAAATAAAAAGTGTTTGTATATTTTGTAAACGAAACCCTAAATTTGGGAGTCAGTGTAACTCTCACTAGTTCCATTTTTTTATTTAAGGGTAAGCCACTGTAAATGTAATAAAAGCGTAAAGTGTAAAGTGTAAAGTGCTTTTCCTTTGAAGAGCTTCGCGGCACGCGGGTGCAAAATTGAATCTGGAACAAAATATAAAATTTTTTCATTATCTACATGAGAATAGCTAAATAAACACGTAGGGATTTTAAAAAATATTAATTTTTGTGTACTTTGCAAAAAATCAAAATCCTTTGAAAAGAATCATTTTTCGACAAAAAAACTTTTAAACTTTTAAAATGTATAATACATATTTATGAAAAAGTGAAAATTTTTACTATTAAAAAATGTTTACCATAATCTGCAATTCTAGCACCATAAAAACATATTTTTGTATTTGTACTATCTTCTATGCAGTTTCTGCCCATCAAGTAGTCACCCGACGCAGGTAGTCGTTCCGAAGGGGCCCAGCATCCACGGTAAAATTGGCTCTTCGTTCCATGGGAACGCGATGTGAACGCTTGCTAACGTCACCCATTTGATCAACATTGTGACGTCAGCACGTCGCGTTCACGTCAATGTATAGGCAACATATAAA